TGTGTGTGTGTGCGCGCGCGTGCTAGTGAGAGAGAGACAAACAGACAGACAAAAATAGTGGGACTAAGACGACCCGCATTGGCTACAGGTACTACCGTCATTGGACCCGCAGTACTATTTGAGTATTCATTCTGTGTTTGCTCTTTTCAAATTGAAAAATTATCAGGAAAATAAAAAAAGGAAGTTCTCTTCCCCTCTCGGAGTGTGTGGTTATCTTGCTGTTCCAGGGCGTGGGAGCAACTCTCTGGAGTATTGGGGAGGGGGGTGGTGGTGGTGGGTTGGTGGGGCTGTGAAGGGAGGCCCAGTAGTGAGGCTGAAGGGGGTTGTCAGAATAAATTGCTTTTAGAACAATTTCCTCTTATGGAATGGAGATCAGAGAATTAGAAAGGGCCAACATGGCGGGCTGGTCAGTGTTGCCATTAGACTTAGTGTCAGCCAGCCAGTCGAGCGGCCACCACGTCAAACCAAACTGCAGGCTCCAGTTATTAAATCCCCCACCCACTCCGCCCCCAGACCCCATCCTGCACCCCAAAATAATAGGAACAACTGAATGAAAAGTCACACAAGAAATTGGATTTGCTAGATTTAGTTTTCGAGTTATCAAATGTAGTATTTTTTTTCCACATTTCAGATCTCATAAAGAATTAACAGAAATTACAAAGGTTAACAATAAAATTTAAAATACAAAGCTTGTGTACCTGGGACTTAAAGGCCTGAAGCTCAGCTTGGAGTTCAGCTGCTTTTTCTTCACACTTAACCAGTTGACCTTCTGTCTCCTGCCTGCTGACAAACTCCTCCTCGAACTGAAAAGAGAAACACATATCCAAATTATTAATGAAAAGCAAGCATTGATATTGAATCACTTTAACTTGGAATAAACATTAGTATTATTAGTAATAGTATTAAATCTAAGTGTATAGTTATTTTTGCATAATTAAAATTAATTTTTATCTTGATTACCCTCATTGCTGATTGAATTTCCACCTTTTGTCAAACACCCGTTCAATGATAAAACCCCTAAAGTACGAGGCACACACACCAATCAGTGAGCCCGTGTTTCTAATCAGGATCTACAACCTGCTGCTACCCAGACAGCAGATAATCAATTTGAAATCACACATTTCACAAGCCTGTGTGCGATACGGCGACTGAGAAGAAAAACTGTTCGGCTTTTTATCTAACTTGCTGTAGTGGAACAAGTTCTTATATGAATATAAAAAAACATGGAACTACATATAAAAGCTTGAGATGTGGGGAATATAATAAAGTGGGAAAGAAGACTAATTTATGTACAATGATATGGGAAGAACAAGTTGTTCTATCATTGTCCTCACCTTAAAAAATCTCTGGCATAAGTCCAATTGTTATCATCATTGAATACTCTTCACTTGTACAAATGTACTTGCTTGTACCATGGGAATTGGGCATTTTTAAGGTTATAGATCTGACTATGTTATATCAATAACATGATTCTTACTTTACTTTTTTTCGATAATAATAAGAGACAATTTCAAATCCATTTTTTGAAACAGATAAAGAAGATTTCAATTATTCAAACCTCAAAGGATTCTGAATGTAATTTTTGCTCTATAATGTAAATGTTTTCTTATCTAAACAGATGTTGCTTTAGAGAACAAAGTGAAGTGAATACCAGCATGCCTTAATGGGCTTTGTTGAGGCCAGGTGGTTGTGGAGTGGGAGGAAAAAAATTTCTGTACTTGCCTTCTGTGCCAATTCTGAAGCTCTTTGTTCATACTCATCAATTCGAGCTTTATCCACACACACCTCTGAAAATGAACAAAACATAGAGTGAGAATTACATGTGATTGATTGAAAAATTGAAATATCTGTCATGCAAATAAGTGTGTGACTTGCCCAAGAGGTGGCTGAAGTCCACATCTAGGCGCTTGCGGTAACTGAAGTCTGGGTCAGTGCCACTGCGGTGGAGCACGATCTGAGACACACACTCCTCAATGATCTTAAAGTACTGAGGCCTGGGAGTCAGGAGAAGTCAGAGAAAAGATGTTAGAGTTTCACAAAACACACGTAATTTAATTTCATTCTTAATCTGGTGTCTGTGAACACATTTGTACAAGAGCAGAGAGCCGTGAGAGCAGCTTTACTGTCTACAGGGAAAACAGGGCTACTGAAAAGATATAAGGGAAATGTGGCATGTCCCAACAACTTGTGCAACCAATCAGAATAACTTCATAAGAAAAATTCTAAACACATCATGAACCTACAAGTCAGGGCTACTTATCATTAACTATGTATTAATTGGTTTAATTTCAACAGAGGAAAAACATTTGACAAACATCCTCATCAACACTGTTGACATAAGAATCTCATGTATCTGGAATTATTAAACATCTTCAAAATATTGATTCTGAAATCATTCTGAAAATCCAATTCAAAGAATATTGGTGGAGACTGCAATAATGTGAACAGAAAACAGCAGAAAAGAAAAATAATAATCCATATATTCCATAAAGAAATATGAAAAGCCTAGTGATTTATTATTTATGTCGATTTTGAACCTGATGTAAAGTTTAAGCATCTTGATTATTGAAACTATACTTCAGTGGATATGAGGCAGTTTATACCAACAGCACCTATATAAGCACTGTTTCTATGATACTGAACAATGGAGAATACACAACAAACTATTAGCAAATGCACAGTAATTGCAGTTGAACTGTTTAAAGAGCTCTGTTGCTCACTGATCACACATTAACGAGGATTTACTACACTGACGAAAAGGGAGATGTTGTGATGCAACAGACAACAGCTGAGAGCCACAGTGCTTTTGCAAGTTAAAGGAAGAAGTGTCTGATCTGCTCATTATCTTGCAACAATGTCGCTGAGAGTCCAAATCCCTACTCTGAGACTTATCAGCAGCGATTAATCAGGGACGCTGCCTTCCACTCTCTGAAACAATGCTGAGTATGCCATGGAGATCGGCACAATGGAGTCACTGTGTGAATGACAAAAATATAAAGATTAAAATAGAATAAGACATACTGTCAATCACTTGACTGACAAGCTGCCGGTGCTCTTTTCATTTACACTGAAACTTTGGACCCCCTATCTATATGCTCTTGACAATAAATAACCAATGCTCACTGAACCAGTCACTTGCAAGAGATGCAGAATATTAAAAGGTTCACGTTCAGATACAATCCAGTGGTGAAAATTAATAACAGGAGTATTGAACTGCCAATGGAAAACTTGAAAATGCGGCACCATATTGTATGATCATCACACAGAGGGGTGACAAAACCATCATTCACGTCAGATTTTATAATGTGCATAAGGGTGTGTTCTTGTCACGCAGCTTTGGGAGGATGCTTTCCTTTTGGGATACAGGACCCTTTTTATGTCTTCTGTGCTGCTGTTTGCTTTTCCCAAACTAATCAACCTATTTTCAGCCCACAGAACTTTCTCCTAAGTGCACTTTGACAAATATCAAGCCTGCAGTAATGATTTATCTGGAAAGCAGCAGCTTCCATGGTGGTGTCCTGCCATCAACATCATGCTGCATGCACCCACATACTATTATTTGCATATGGTAGACTCATGAACATCAGAGGTGTTACCAAGGTTATTCCTTAAAGTCTTCAGCTCTTATACTTTCTTTTTTTACCTCATTGAGCATTCTGCTTTTTGCCCTGTGTCATCTTAAGCTGAGGGCCCACTCCCTGTGAGAGCAACTACATTACAATTTGTCTGACTGTGGACTAATGAATGTCTAAACTCTCAGATGAATCTGTGAGCCTTTCCAGCTTTATGCAAATCTAAAATTGTTGATCCTAAATCTAATTAGATCCTGCGAGGCACCATTCGCTTCAGCAGAAGATTCTTAAATTTCTAAATAAATTAAAGATGCTCGAACACACACCTTCAATTTGGTTTCATTGATCAAAACTAAGGTAAAAACTCCTGACTTCGATTGGCATTTATTGGTGTCATAAGCAGAAGGGATTTGCATACTTTTGTAAGCATTATAAATGCTTACAAAATACCTGGTACCACTGTTGGCAGTCATAAAAATGCCAATATTACCATTGCATGAAGTTTCATTATTGGCAGACAGAAAGACTTCAGGTGTTGTTTTCGGGCGGGAGAGAAAACGCAGGTGATGAATTTCATGTGCTGCAGATTAGAAATCTGTCTTTTGATCAGGCCAAAGCTTAACTCACACCCAGCTGTGAGTGAATCAACATAAAATAAATCTTAGGGAGTGAGACCTCCACAAAACATAAACCCTTAGGTTGTGTGTGGATTTGGCTATAATGCTAATTAAAACCATGTATGTGATAACAGACCAAGTCACAGATATAGGTGGAGGATAATTGAGGGAAGGACATAATGACTGAAATAAAGGAGAAAGAATTTTGTGAGAAGAAGAAATGTTCTGTGTGTTTGTGTGTGCTGGAGATCTTTACCTGACCAAGTAGTCATTGCGTATCAGCATCAGGTGTTGTAGAATAGAGAGAAAATAAGGCTCGGCACTGCTGTCCTTCACCGTGCTCAGCACAATGCTAAACACATCCCCCGCATCAGTGCAGAGAGTCAAGGGCTCGTACGTAAATGGAAATGGCATTTCCACATAAAAATGTAGAAGCTACTGAAATGAAAAAATATGTATTCTCTTCTAATTTCACACTTTTGGTTATCTAGGATCTAGTGAAGAACAACTGACCTTAGCTGGATGCTTTTCTACTGTATATTACCCAGAATTATGAGGTAAAGACACTGAATCAAACTTTGGAGTTTCATGCTGTTTCACGCTGCTGTCAAAATAACAAGGATATTCCAGCTCGCTCTTGATGTCCTCCAGCCTGTGAGAAAATTCCATCATGTCCTCTTCTTTGTGCTCCACAAATACTTTAAGCTGAATGTCGAGGGCGTCATTTCTGATGGCTGTCAGTTGCTACAAATTAAACAATGAGAGACAATGAGATAAAGATTTTTTTTTTTTTTTAAATTAGACAGGCTCACACTAATAAATTCAACAAAAGGGGAAGCATCAGGCTTAAGTGAAGACAAGGAGCTTGTTCTAAATGCTGTGACGCATCATGATATGAAAGTGAGGAGACTAGTTGCATATTTTAATTAGTTCGTTTTTCTTTCTGGATCACTGGCATAGAGCACGAATTCTGACTGAGTAGATTTTTCCCAAATGAAACACGGCCTTTGCATTTGCTGCATTTGCTGAAAAATGACTATTGTAAAATGCAAATGTTATTGTCACCTGCCAAAATATCTGCCGGCTGCTTTGCTCTCGTCTTTAAGAAATAACATTTCACTAACTGTCCCCTGTGTCGTGTAACATGAAACATGCTGCTATCCTTGCTAAATAAATGTTCTCCTGCTTATGCCGCAATTTTATCTTACACTCACCCACGTAGCCAAGATGGCAACCATTGAAGGTGAGAGGTGGCCATTTTAAATGCAAATATTTTACAGTTTTGAGGACACAATCTTAGTGCTGTTCCTCCACTGAATTTTGCAATACTTGTCAGTGTGACCACACTTGTGCTCCCAAGTGTATAAAAGTACATGAACTGAGACACAGCAATACAGTAGTTTACAAGAAAAACGTTTGTAAGGTAGTTGGTATCAAATGCAGTAGAAATATTATTAGCCCAGCCACTTTTGGTTACTGGGTGCTTGCACAGACAGACGACATGGACAAAAACTCTCCACTGTGTTTCATAAATTATTTGCTGGAGCAAATCTACAATATTTCACTGAAGTGGACAACTCATTTAAATATTAATACATGGGGGGGTGAGTTTATACCATGTGTATACATATGTGTGTGTGTGTGTGTGTGTGTGTGTGTGTGTGTGTGTGTGTGTGTGTGTGTGNGTGTGTGTGTGTGTGTGTGTGTGTGTGTGTGTTGTTGAGCTTACCGGCAATATCTCTTTTAGGCCACAGCGCATAAATTCATTTCTGATGTGCAGCCTGAAGTCCAGCTCATCAGGAGATGTTACTAGTGCATTGATGAGCTGCATGCATGCCACCTGCAACATGAAGGGTAAACAACAAAGAAAGAGAAAGAAGGAGAGAGAGAAGAGAGTGAGAGAGAGAACCAGAGAAAGAGTAGACAGACTTCTTCCAGAAGTTGATGAAAAGCATGCCTTCATGCATTCGAAATGAGTTATGTCCCTTGGAAGCAGAAGACCATAACTAATGCATGTCTATTTTCTCCAGTCACCAACTGGGGGGCTGATTTTAATATTAATGGAACAACTGCAGACCCATACACACAAAATTAACAAACAGTCAATTTAAGGGCAAACTCGCTCTTTTGGAAGCTGTTTTCACTCCCGCCTGAGTTTGGTTTACTGCGCGGGGACTGCTGCATCCTGTGACTCCTCAACTGCCCGCGCAAACACAGACAGAAAAATCTATTATTGATCAGTAAAGCAATCCACTCATGCATGAAAAGAGTGTATGGCAATGCTCAAGCTCAGGAAGGATATTCAGATGTTTTAAGGTTCATAATCAGTTTGAGGGCACATGCTTATTTTTGTCGTGGCACTCAAGCTCAATAATTCCCTGTCTTTGAATTACTATTTAATACAGACAGGTAACATTACAAAGGTAACCTGACAAAGTGTCCAAAAACTTTGTCTTGACAATTGACTGGGTTGTGGTGATTGATAAAAAAAAATGTCATCGATAAATTAAAAGACGGTGTCCATTAATGGATTGATTTCCTACCTAGTATACACTGAATATCTTCTTCATATATAAATAGATATCAGAGAGTTTAAGCGTGCTGCGCTGAATAACAAAAGACAAAGGGTTAGCAAGAATATCAAAACAATGCTTTACATCATTTATAGAATCACAATTTACCGTAGCGCTGTACAATGACAGTATCTCAAGTCGATAATTTGGTTCAAGCTCATCAAAAACTATATGAGTTTCTGAATGTAATTTGAACCACCTATATTAGCTTCATTAAGTAAGAGTCAATTAAAAATGCATAATGATATAAAGACATTAGGAGAAAATACAAGCATTTAAAATTTTGTTGGTCCCACATTTTGTTTATTAACACTTACTTTCCCAAAGTTAAACATTGCCATGGGAGACTGTGTGCAAATGTACTCTGGAAGAACAGAAAGCCTTCTGCCACACATTACTGTGGCCGTGGTAAGGATATATAGCAGTATCTGTTTTTTTATAATGCATGGGATTTAAAGGAATCTGTGGCATGTATTCAGAAGTGTGAGGGGATATCAAAGCAAGTACAGTAAGGCCTTATAAACCTTGCAGTACACTGGGCTGTGTTTGTATAGTCACAAATAAAAGCTTCCAGAGGACATCAAAATCCGGCTCTCATTTCTTATTTTCTTTTGGTCCTTTTGGTCTTCCATGGAAACATATTTCTCTCCTTCACTTGACTTCCCTACCTCTCTCTCCCCAAAAGTTTTTACCGGTCAAAGGTAGTTATTGCAAATTGAAAGCAAAAGACATGATACAGATAATACGACTGGGGGCAAAAAGGTTTAGCCCTGGTTATTGCATTGGAATACGAGACAACCAAAGGAGCAAATGGTTGTTCCCACTTGAGTTTTATGCCAACACTTTATCATGTGTATGTGTGTTAGGTACTGAATGAATTGATACTCTCCTCTCGTCCCTAAACTACCAAATAAAAATGCAGACAACACACTTTAACCATGAATTGCATTATTCTGACAGAAACTGATGTTGTCTCTGTTTGAAACAGCCCACATGCAATATCTCAAGTGTATGTATCAGCAGGGAAATTAAAGATCATGTCCACAAAGTGAGGGATTATGTAGAAAGGGAGCATATGAGACAATGAAATGGGCAATTTGCATGGAAAGGTAAAGACCTGTGCACGCACAACTTGTCCACCTATATAGATAAGAGAAGTATGGGATTTTACCGTTCAAGCTTTTTTATGTTTTTGTTTGGTTTAATGTGTTCTCATTCTGTTTCTTCAAGCTCCTATTGTTTCTTTTTGTTGTAAAATTTTACAATGAAATATTTTCTGGTTATATCATAGTCACAATATTCTTGTTTTACAGCTAGCATACTCCTGTAACTTTAATTATGCTGAAAGTATCAACAGTAATGGTCGGTACACATGGCAAGCCCAAATAAAGAAAGTCTTTCTCCACACACTCTTCAGGATAATGTTAAAAAAATGATATTGACAGGCTCTAGACTGCCTCATTACATTCCACTTGTTTGTTTTATCACCAAAATGCACTTCAACAGTGTATAGCTCAAAACTTGAAGTGGTCTTTCCACAGTCATTTCCTAATTCATTTCAGGGAAATCTGAGTGCAACAACAATGTCAGTGGCCGTACATGTACTTTCTACTTACTTGTAATTGAACTGAGCGATCACGAAGCCCTTGCGCAATGGGACTGAACCTCTCGATAGATCGCCATTCCCCTGCTGTGGTAATGGCTTCAAGGACCTTTTCCAAACTAAATGAGAAAATCACATGCATGAGCGTTGGGGCGAAAAAAGAAAAAGAAATTATTTTTTAGTCAGAATCTGTATTCAAGGCTGATTTAACAAAGGTAGATAATCTTCTCTAGAAAATACCATCACTGACACTGTAAATCATGACTTATGACTTATAAGACACATTTAATTGAATTGATCGTAATTTTAATGATTATAATAATTAAATTAAATAAAAAATACCACAATATTTAGATTTTTCTAATGAAACATATACCACTTGAAATTGTGTTCGATATAATCTACTGTTTTCATACATGAAAGAAGTGATATTCAAAGTATTGGCATTGGAAATGTACACCAATACTTCCACAGTCGTAATACAGATACTCACAAAGGAAGTTATTATAAAAAATTATAATTAGTGATAATCAGTTGGACCATAATTGTAAATAAAACCTAAACTAAGGGATAATTTAGAAATATTGTCTAGAAAAGCAGTAAGAAAAAGATATTTCAACTGAAAGAATGAAGCCTGAGCATACGTGTTGTCTTCGCCCACAATGCAGATGGCTGACAGCAGCTTCACCACGTCAGTCATCATGGCAGACTGGGTGGGATCAATAGCTTTTGCCAGTAAAGCAAGACTTTTCTCCTCCGCCAGGATTCGGTCCAAGCCATACTACAAAGAACACAAACACATAACATGTTTACACAAGTATACATTAATTCATCTTATTAGTGACAATAATGAAATTTCATGTAAAACCCTTAACACAAAGTTTTACTCATTAAAGTTGAAGTTCAATACATTTATTTTCACTTCACATTATGACTGAATTATGAAATGCCAGACACAAGGTAAACTACGATTTCAGGTAATCTGTAATACAGCATGTGCAATTCCATTAAGAGATCTGGCTGAAGACAATTCCTTGTACAAATGGTCTCAAGAAAATTGGATTTAATTACAAGATCATTATTAAATAGATTTACAATAACTGTGCATTTTGAGTGTATATTAAAGGCATCACAAAGAAAACAAGTGAGTGAATTGAAAAAAAACAATGTTTCATTTGTGGTTGATATTTGTTGCTAGCATGTGGTAACAGCTGCACAATGAAGACCAGGCTCAGCAACATTCAGAACTGAAATTAATGTTTTGATTTGTACAGAGAAAATCAATACAGCAATTGTCTGTTTTGTTAAAAATAATTAAATGTTGAATATAAATAATACTTAGTTTTTTTGCACTTTTGTTGTTTGACTTGCTTTTGTCAATCTGATAATAACACATAGCACTTGATTTATATATTTTCTGTTTGCCTGGACGATGCAGGCTTTATACAATTGACAGTAAACTAACAAAATATTCTGATTGTTTCTCTGTGTCTGCACAGTTATATGCAAATAGCTCAAATGTGTCATTACTTGATAAACAGTTTTGCCATTTTGTTCATGCTCTGTCATATTTTCGAAACAACGTATGGTCGAGTTTCCAGAAACAAAAGAAAGATGAACTGTGTCAGATTTCTGTGGATGCTTCAAAGAAAGAACACTGCTGGAGCAGGTTTGTTTATCATCGATATGTCTCATGTAGACACCACATCTCTTTTACAATTTCCCTATGCAGTTGTCCCTATACTTTAACAGTACACGGTAAATACTGACAAGAATATATACTGTATTGTGCAAATTTCCTTTTCTGACTATAGTGACACCTAAGGGTATATAACAACAAAATTGCATTAATGTTGCTGCCTAATTGTGGTCTCCATCTGTACACAAGCTAAATGTAGTTGCATCTGGATGAAGCATTCAAGAGTTGAAGCAGAATTCATTTGACCACACTTCAAAAATATGTTAGACAAAGAAATGGAAAAGCAGTTGATGATTTCTCAAATCAAACATAAAGGCAGTGTTGGGGGTCGTCCAAATATGGCAAGTTCCCAGACTGGGGAAGCTTGGATGTA